AGCCCCCGGGGCCACGAATACCTCCTGGTCTTTGTCGACTTGTTTACGCGTTGGGTGGAGTGCGTACCAATCCGCCGAGCCAACGCCAAGACCATCGTCAAAGAGCTCAACGATAAAATTGTAATGAGGTTCGGAGCGCCGGAACAATTCCTCTCGGATAACGGGACGGAGTTTAAAAACCAACTCGTCGAAGACTACCTGGCTAAGCAAGGCATAAAGTCCGGGCTAACCCCCGCGTATAGCCCTCACGCCAACCCGACAGAGAGATACAACCGAACTCTCAAGACGATGATCGTCACTTATCTCGAAGACCACCATAGAAATTGGGACGAAAAGCTCGTCGAATTGTCCTTCGCCCTAAACACGGCAATACATAGCACCACTAGAGTCAGTCCGGCTCTTTTGAATTATGGTCGACAACCAATCCCGCCCGGCACTCAGCGCCGCCAACAAGACTCCGCAAGCGCTGAGAACGAAGAAGAGCAAGCTAGGGCAGAGTGGGCCGAACACCTGGGGCTACTAAGTGACTGGTATGATGAGGCCGCAGCACGCACGAAGGACGAGCGGGAGCGCCAGGCACCCTATTATGACAAAAAGCACCGGCAGCATAAGTTCAAGGTCGGAGACTGGGTGTGGAAGAGGAATCGGATCCTCTCCTCGGCGGCCCAAGGCGTGGCAGCAAAACTAGCACCGAAATATACCGGACCATACGTTATCACGAAAGTTTGCGGCAACAACGCGTTCAAACTGGCTAACCACCAAGAAGAGTTAGACACCCTCGTCCACGCCAAAGACCTCCGCCAGTTCTACGACTCACCCGAGTGCAAGGACCAAACCCAGCCGGAAGATGGGGAAAACGCGACTCGACCGCCGAGGGATGTAAGGGCGAACGGTGACCCGCCCGAAGCATGCGACCAAGCGAGCGAGCGCGAGTCCGACGAACAGGACGAGCTTTCGGATCCGACACCCGCGCCGGCGCCAGCGAAGCGGGGACCAGGGCGGCCGCGCAAGGTCCAAGCGGCGAGCCCACAGCCCGCGGTCGCGAGAAAGCCTCGGGGCCGGCCCCGGAAAACGGCACACCTGGTACTGCGCACAGCGACGCGGGCCATACCGAATCTGAACCGAACCGTCAAAACGAACAGGCGAAAGCCTGGAAGGCCGAAAAAGACTTAACGACCGCACCCGCACCATTCGCAATCATTATCCCCGGCATTCATGATCATTCATCCTCCTCATACCATCTATCGTCACCCCATTACAGATGGAAGACGCAGTCATGGAAATCGCCGCTTGGTTCTTCGGCCACGCCCGTCATGAGGACCTCGAGCGATCGGAGAAGGCAACCCTCTTCAGAGCTCGCAAGACCTCCGAGCGGATGCATGTCGACGCCCTCGAGTTGGAGGTCGGAGAGAAGAGGGACGCTCAGTTCGCCCGCATCTTCGACCGGGTCACCTGCCAGATCCGGGAAGGCGTCGCGCAGGACACCGTGCTCCGCCGGCTAGATGACGCCCGAGCCCGACTCATCCTGCGGGTACAGCAGTTGCAGGAGGAGGGCGTCATCGCGCCACCACACCCAAGGCCGCGCCCAAAGCTCACCCTGGAGGAGATCCGTGAGACCCCGGAGGGCTGGCCGACTCGTGGCGGGCACATAAGTCATCCCGCCCCGCCACCAAAGACCTCGGTACACGCGTGGGTGTACGGGCGATACGCGTCCAAGGGCATACCCACTGGGCGACCCGCCCCAAGTTCGAGTCGCCCCACGCCCAAGGTCCAGGACGCCTCCTCGCAGACCACCAGCGAGAAAAAGGACGCGGCTACCCAGACCCTCCGTTCTGCAGTCCACCGTGGGATCCAGGTCAGGCCAATCCGCTGGGCGATGTCCACACAGGCGACGCCGACCCGTCTGGACCGATCGACGCAGGCCTATCCCGACCAGCAAGAGGTGGCCTCGCAAACCTGGCCATCCACGGGCGCGCCAGGGGCCGCGACTCACTGAGAGGAGACCCCGAACCGAAGGGACGCACCCCCCGAATGCGGTCGGAGGCCATGGGACATGGGCGGCAGCCCCGAAAATACCCCGAGGCCCGCCCGCGTGTATCCCTGCATCGACCGGCCGTATGAGAGTACAGATTGGCCCACCTCCCCGCTGAGCAAGTGGGCGAGCCAGTCAAGTGAGGAGGACTGGCCGACCATCGGGCGAGCGCTGGCCGAACTCGGGAACGCGTGGAAGTTCGTTATGAGCTTCCAACGCCGAGTTCTAACCAGGTCGGCGCAATTCCTGGAGTTACCCGGTGCAGGAATCTTCCTCGACCCATGGCTCGACAAACTCGAGCGGTGGCAGCGCTACGAGCTAGCGGTCCGGGCAATATAACGAGGGCAGTCACCCGCATTCTCGGCGCCCCCTCCAGTATTGCCCTATCCGGAGTTCCGCCGGGCGCCCGGCACGGAAGGCCAGCGCCCCCAAGGGCCTAGAGCCCCTAGGCCCACAGCTCGGACGACGCCCGACCAGGACAGCGAGGACACACCGGCCCCGGAGCCAGCCCATCATGGTCGCGTGAATGTAGACGCCAACTCCTCCGGGGGAAGCACGGTGACGGTCAACATCAGCCAGCGTCACGGGCGCTGGGCGGAACACCATCATCCGCAAAGGGCCCATTCCCTGGGGAGAAGGGAGCGGAGTCGCGCGAGGAGCGCGAGCCGCGCCCCAAACCCCAACATCGTCGACCCGGAGGGACGCCGGGAGGGCCAATCACGCCGAGACGCCGAGCGATGCTACGTTTGTGGGCATCCCGGCGTCTCCAAATCTTCACGTTGCCCGAATCTCACCCGCCACGGCGAATTCCGGCGCGACCGCAGTCACCGGCGCCACTGATAACTGCCCACTGGGACAACGAAATAAATGATTTTCACCTCATATCACTGCCACATTCATTACACTTCACCCCTCTCACCTCGCTAGTCCTTACCCTCGTATAGTCACTCCGCGCTATAATCGTCGAATATTTCCCCGGGTATCATCCGACTAGGAGGGGGCTATAACGGCCGGGGCCGTTTTCGCGGAGGATCGGTCGCGCTCGAGTCCGAGCGCGACCAAGCGGACAAGCGAGCGAGGAGCGAAGGAGAGAGAGAAATAGCGAGACTAGAGCAGGCGCGTGCCGTAGCGGGAGAGTGGGGGGAGAAAAACGATTTGAGGACACTTCGACTGGGACCGGCAAGGGAGATTGATTGCCACGTGCGCGCGCGAACCACAAAGCGAAAGTGTGGAGAAAGAGAAAAGAAAGAGAGAAAGGAAAGCGTCCGAAAAGAAGAAAAGTGCAAGTGCGCGAGGAAAGAAGGCCGATCCCCAAAGGTCGTCACAAGCTGCGGACAGTCGTTTAAAGCGGGCAATCACCAGGGGCAGATCTTGCCCGCCCGAGCAAGGGCGACGACGTAAGCTACAAATAGGAAATAGTCTGGCTGCAGCAGCTACTTCGCGGTGAGTTCCTCTCTGTTAATAAGTGCCGAATTTGCGTGCGTTTAGTCCCGCGAGCGAGCGTGTATCTCTCTCTCTTTACATTGTTGTGCGAAGCGAAATCTCGGCGTGCGAATTTGTATAGAAAATTCACGTAAATAAAGCCTGGTTTAACCCGTTTATGTGTTGACGTTGTGTTGAGTGTACCTAGGGAGGCACCTCTGTCCCTTCCTACGCCCGTGATTGAGACTCACGCACGCTCTCGTGCATTAGCCGTGCTTTCGCGATCCCTTTTCAGGGCAGCGCGTGCCCGCCCGTATTCGGCGGAACGCCAGCAAGCGGCCAGCTGATCGGGGCGGCGGTGAGCCCCGCACCGACCAGTTGAATTAAGATCTTTAACGGACTACTAAAATAATTTGATTATTTCGCGGACCGTTACAGTATACTATCACAGCAATACTCTAATGAAGATATACTTTTAATATGAATGCTTGAACACTAGCAAGATATTTTTAAATCTTTACATATACAAGTATACTGACCATACACAATTCACTGCACTTAATGCCACTCATGAAAAATATGAATTTAAGAAAACGATATTGAGGGTCATTTGGTTACATTTACATTAAGGTATAGGATTTGTTTTCTTAGTTTCCAAATTTTTTTCAATAATGAGTGGATCATTTATGTAATAAATTTATACTCACACCATCGTCATCTGTTGATCCAGAAAAAGCATCAATTACTTGATTGGCAGATGACAAACTACATTCCTATAAAATATATATTAATTAATTTTATAAAGTATAAATTATGATATAATAATCGCAGTGAATAATACACTGAATTTAAGTATCAGTCTACTTACTGATTCATTTTCTGATGATACTGGAGATGATTGAGATGTTGTAGATTCATCATTGCTTGAAATATTATTAATTTCATGCAAAATGTTTGAAACTTGCTGAAATAAAACCATAACAAATATATTTATGAGACATGTTGTTAAGTTCATAAATTAATACATGCTTGGAATTACGTACATGCTATCTAGGCTTATATGCATTCATTAATTGAAAAGTTAATTGAATACTCACAGCATAATTCTCTCGCCATCTTTGATTGTCAACACTGGAATCTGAAGAAGAATCGTTCCTCTCTACTGTTCTCTTCCTGTTATATTGTGTAGTTCTCGGCGTTTTAATATCAACATTAATTCTGCCTAGGTTGTATCTACGATTGTTAGCCATTGTTTCACAGACAAAACTATAATATTTCAGTAAATTTGTTAGAAACTTAAATAGTATTTCTATATATTTATAAATCAATATTTTCATCTTACCTTTGTCACCTGGTCATGATCATGAAACTATAACATAAAACATAACCATATAACCACCGTATCGTATATCATAAAATACATATAAACTGGCAACCGACTTCTGCGCAGCCATCCTGCGCAGGTCACTTCCAGGATAGCATACATGTCAAGGCCTAATATGTATTTTGTTCCGCATTGAATTGTAAATGACTGGCTGCAGTTTACAAGTGTTTCACGAGTGTTATTAATTCGACACTTTTAAAGGAGCTGTCGTAAAAAAAACTAACAAATAGTAAGATAACATTTATATCTTGTTCAAAGAACAATCGAAATCATAATTCAATTTTCAATTTATTTCAAAAAGTGAATCTTAGATACCAACGATAATAGGGTGTATCGCGCCATCGAATATAATTTCTTTGTCACACATAGTGTGAACTATGATATATATGCTTGTTGATTTTTTTCTTTGTTTCGTGCTCGGTCTGGATGTTTCTTTGAATTAAAAATTAAAATTCTATTGTAGTAAATTATTTATTGACAAGTGCTCTTTATGAGCTGCAGTTATTTTACTTAAGAAACCATTATCAAGGTATGTATTATATATAATTATTTCTTATCATTATCATAAACTGCATGCATTTATTTTTTAAATATTGTAAGATTCAACCTGTGAAATCTTAGCTGCAATTTTCCAACTAATTATTTTTATTGTTCAAAATTGAAGCATACAAATTTTTATACTAAATTATCAAACTAAATAGAGAAATTTTTCCTTGGTTTGCATGAAAAATTCTAAGTACAAGTAATAGAAGTAGAACATAGCTTGATTCCTTCATATATGTTGGGTAAAGTTTAAAGTTGAAATAATATTGCACAAAATTAAGTTCCAATTTTTTTAATTGATTCTTTACACATGAAATATGTTACATGGTACTTTTTAACTGGATTTTAGTAGTCTGACTATATTGGATATCATCTCCAACAAATAGTTAGGGGGGAATAGAAGTAATATTCAAATATTATATTCAATTGAGATTTTCAAATACATCTACTTTTCCTGAGCTTAAGTAATATAGAAAGATATATAGGTATACTGTCACATAAAAAATATTATTTTCAGATTTTCTAAAGCCACAATGAGTGATGACGACAGTGGCATGTCAGACTTAGGGGATGTAGTAGGCTATGCTGCTGTGAGATTCTATGTAGACAATGCAAAAGTAAAATTTGTTCCAGTTCAAAATATACGATGTTATGATCCAAGTGATAAAAACTTTCCCTATGATGCATACGTTGCAAATGGACAAGATGCTGATGGCCATAAAGTATATGAACCTGCAGTAATTTTAGATATAAATGATGACAAAGAAACTTTACAAGCAAGAAAGACGAGATGGCCTAAACCAAATAAAAGGCTCAGTGTTGTAGTCCATGAATTAGCAAATAAGGAACGTACCACCAAATCAAATACAAATTCACCTGTGTCTAAAAGAAAAGGGAGAAAGAAGACATTTGTAGTGAAATCGTCAAACAAGGTTTATATGCAATATAATCTATTTAATTTAATGTAGTTCGTATCTATATTGACTTATTAATAATTCATCATCAATTTATAATAATTTAATTTTAATAATAATATTTGATAATTTTTCTTCGAAGAAAATTTGAAAGTCAAAATTCTTTCTTCGAAGAACATTTGAAACTTTCATAATAATAGAACCCTTGGGTAAGACAAACTTTGTTTGATGAACTCTGAAATGGTTGTTAATAGGTATCTCAGTGTAATAATTATTTTCATTTTTCATTTAATGAAAATTCCAGACCCTTGCACTTATTGCATGACTATCTAATCACTGTAAAATTTTTGTTTACACACACACGCACGCACGCACGCACGCACGCACGCACGCACGCACGCACGCACGCACACATGTATATATATAGCAGTTACGATTTACATTTTATTTTTCAAAATCAGGGTCTTCCACCATCAATATCAGAGGCAAAATTGTCTATGAATGACAGAATAAATGCTCTGGAAGAAAATTTTAGCGTTGATATTCATGAAGAATTAGTCAGCTGCAAACCTAAACAAGTAGATAAAGATAAACTGATAGAAGAGCTGCAGAAAAAGTTGGAGGAATTACAGAAGCAGTCACAAGCACATAGTACATATAATAGTCCTGGTTGTTCAGTACATATGAATGCTGTTGAAGATGTTAAAACTCCTGACCATGTGACTTCTCCAGTTTCTGCAAATTACTCGAGACGGTACCCGCATTCACCATGCAAGATAGTATTGGAAGGTGTGTGTGTGTGTGTGTGTGTGTGTGTGTGTGTGTGTGTGTGTGTGTGTGTGTGTGTGTGTGTGTGTGTGTGTGTGTGTGTGTGTGTGTGTGTGTGTGTGTGTGTGTGTGTGTGTGTGTGTGTGTGTGTGTGTGTGTGTGTGTGTGTGTGTGTGTGTGTGTGTGTGTGTGTGTGTGTGTGTGTGTGTGTGTGTGTGTGTGTGTGTGTGTATAAAATGAAAAGCCCAGTGTAACGAGTACATTGTGAAATATTTGTATGTTACAGGTTTGCCAAAAAATTTTCGTAGTTATCATGCAAGTACCAGTGCAGATGCAGAAAGTAGACCGTCGACCAGCTACATGCCTGCTAAGAGACTCCCGTTGAAACGAACTGCTGTCGAGGATAAATTTTTGAAAAAAAAGATCAAACTGAATAAGAAGAAGAAAGAAAAGAAATATGTCAGAAAGCTAAAAGCAAAGTTGAGTACCTGGGAACAAGACATAAATGATGATGAAAAGGTAAATATTTATATTATTATTGTACTGTTTGACAATAAAATCTTATAATTCTTTAATTTTTCAGAAAACCATGTTTCATCTCCACTTCGGAGTGTCTGTACCTTATAAAGCTTGGAAAAAAGCCAAACGGGCAACAACAGTCTACAAGTTTCTAAGAGAACTTATTTTTCATGTATGGAAACCTCATGAGTTTATTGAGTTAGCGGTGCAAGTAAATCGAACCGCAGACACTGAAAACAGAGTTGCTATTGAACCCAAGAAATTCGAGGCTCTTAAAAGTAATGTATATTATTTTCATTGTACCTTCAAGCCATTTGTTACTTTATTTTGTATTTATTTACAGGGGGATATGCCCAATATTTATTCGAACGCAAAATGATCTCTCAAAGCGCAAGCGTAAAAGAAAAGAATCGGATTATTCAGAAATTTGGAAGATATCTGGGGATTCTAATTGCTCAAGAACGAATCAAATATTTTTCTTCCTGTGAGGAAGTACGTCATGAGAGGTATAGAACAACTTCAGAAGAAAATGAAGAAGATGAAGAGGAAAATGAAGAAGATGAAGAAGAAAATGAAGAAGATAAAGATGAAGATGAAAACCATAAAGATCGAGCCGAAGATGAATTTGAAATTCAAAACTCATTCTAATCGTTTGATGAAGAAATCCTTTTATAATTTTTGTTATCATTTCATAACTGCATTTATTGAAGTTCTAAAAATCATTTTATTTTTATTTATTATGTAACGATATTAAAGATACTGTATTTATTATAAGTATAAAAATAAGTATAAAAATAAAGCACAAATTATTTTTTTTTAAATAACGTCATTTTCTTTAAATAAAGTTATTGTCCGGCAAAATAACGTTACTCCATTCGTAAAGCACAAAATCTTTTTTGAAAATAACGTTACTTTCTGTAAATAACGTTATTGTCCCGCGAAATAACGTTATTCCATTCGTAAAGCACAAAATATTTTTTTGAAATAACGTCATTTTCTTTAAATAACGTTATTGGCCCGAGAAATAACTTTATTCCATTCGTAAAGCACACAACCTTTTTAAAATTAACGTCATTTTCTGTAAATTACGTTATTAATTCCAAAAATGACGTTATTTTTTTAATAGAAATGACGTTATTAGATAAAAAAATAACATTATTAAATGTTCCAAATCGTAACACCAAATAACGTTATAGATAACGTTATAAATGATGTCATTTAATAACGTTATTTATAACGTTATTTTTTTCTATAGGGATGAGTATTGTATTTAGAAATTGTTATTTTACTAAATTTTTGAAAATCCATTATTAATGTAAATATTGAAGGTGTTACAGTCACTTTTATAAATTTCGCCTTGATCAAAATAAGTGAACTGTATTTCCTATTTATTTAATGAAACTTTTTCATTTAGAATTAGGCTTACTGAATAGAATAAAATGAGCATGCTTTTATTTTTGCTTAATGAATGGTTTATAGAAAACTTCTAAATAAGTTCTTTATATAATAATACATTTATATTTTGGCAGTGCTTTTTGAAGTCTGTAAAATGGATCGTATCAGAGCAGCTCTTGTAAAACTTAAAAGTGGGAGATATTTTTCTATATCGACAGATCATTTATCTATAAAAAACAAAAGTTTAGGATTTTTCAAATTCAAGAACTCAAAAAAAGCAACTGAGTGTGAGATAATTGGATACAACGGTAATTTTTATTGAATTATTACAATTCTATATCAATTACTACAATACTAATTATTATAATTCTTGTTATTCAATTATGTTTTAGATGATAAGACTCTATTTTCGAGACTTGCTGAAAGTTTGAACGAACAAATTCCAGTTGTAGAAATTGAATTAGATACATCATTAAACAGCAATTTATTATCAACTTCAATAAATTTAAATCAGAGTTAAAATGATTCTGTGGGTGATACAATTCAAAATCAAATTGAGATTACTTCTAAAGGTAACATACAATATTTGTAAATATTATTAATTTGTTATATTATTTATTTGTAATATTTGTATTTACTCTTATTTTTATGAAGTCGGTTGATCAATAATACATTTTCATCCAGCACTATTCATTTCAGTTAAATTCAGTTAAATAAAATAATAAGTAGATTTGAATCTAAAACTAGTAGTCCGGGCGCTGGTGACACTTGAGTATTTTTTAACAATGAGAAAACCTATTTTCTTCATGTATTATTTTATGTTGACATAAACAGCATTTCTAGTTCCAAGCCACATTGTCTGATTGTAACTGCACTTCCTATATTTTTCTTCAGTCTCGACCTATAAACCAATAAAAAGAGCCACAAAGAAATTTGTTTTCGCCTCCTGGGTAGTAAAATTAAGTGGCAACTTATCTGATGAAACTGCTAAATGTTGATGTATTCCTTGGTAATATCTCAGTACTTTTTTTATAAAAGACTTTGTAGCATCATACACTCATAACTTATGTCTGTTGCACTCAACAACAGGCTTAGTAGACACTAGCAGAAGACTGAAAACACATAAGCTAACCATATATGTGTTGGTGGGTACACGGTTTAGTTTACAAAGTGAGTTCGGCTAGTGTATAGTGAATACTGTCATTATGACACTATATTTCGAAAATCTATTTTATATAAATTATTTAATATTAGATTTTAATTTGGTTAAACACTTTTCCAAGCTGTATTCAAATCAATTTTCGAAAACAATTAAATGATACAAAAATTCACCAATATTATAACGGGGTTTTGACCCAGCGCGGGTCACTCGTTATATAAATTACGAGAGAATTAAAACAGCTCGGTGTGGGCCTCGTAATAGGCTGCGCAAAGCCTAGCCCAGCAGCAACAGGAACGTCGTGGTGCAGCGTCTGTTACCTTGGCCCGCGGAGAGCGTCGTGTAGTCCTATGGGCGCTTTGAATCGATCGCGAAATTCAGGCGCGAAAGCCGGACGGAACGGGATTGCTTACGATAGGTAAAAAGGAAGCGCAAAAGAAGAAAACAGATATACGAATAACATCGAGTTTACTACGGAAAGTAATACAAAATTAGTACGCAGCGTAAGCGGGAGAGAGAGTGGCGAAAAGCTAGCGAGAGAGACATGTATTCGAGAAGGTACTTACAATAATATCTCGGCGTTAGCCCTGCAGGCGATGTCCTTAGCCTCGCACGTGGCTCGCGATGACGCGCAGCGTGCAGCTCGGGTGCAGTCAAGAAGCGGGCGGCCTTAAAGGCTCGCGCGCGCGGTCGCAGGAACTAGCCCACCAAAGGCACTAAGGGCAATCTCGGCACCGATACTTTACACCGAGTGGACACTCGCATATTCGCAGGCAATCGAAATGTCAGTCACAAAAGTTAGTCGCGAAAAGTCGGATAACAAAAGATCGCGAGCACGAGTATAGCCGCTCGTCACACGTCCACGTGCTTCGAAGTCGCCGGTACAAGAGCGAGTCCTTATCGCGCGCCTCTGCCCTACTCTCCTACTCGCGCGCGTCGCGCCGGCCTCCCGAATTCTCTCTCTCTAGCTCGCCCTCTATTAGCGCTCTCTCTGACTTACCTTTGGCTGCCATACATGTGGGATAAATATAAGACAATTATATACATAAGAATAATTATAATTATGTATGGGGAGAGAGAGACATAACGAGGGTCTGGCCGCTCGTTATAATATAAATAAATTAAGTGTGACCCTTGCGTAATATAAATCGATTGAACTCAATAAAAGTCATAAATAATAATTAATTCAACTGCGTATCATATTTACAAAACAACAAAAATGCCATCACATATTCAATAATGTTTTATCTTCTTGATTAATTTTAAATAATTCAAATAAAACATATTAATTTAAGAATTACAGTTAATTAAAAAAAGTTTACAATTTAATTATTTCATTAATTAAAAAGAAATTAAATTAATAATAAAAAATTATTTGTAAAATATAAAAATGCAATTGCATTCCTCAAAACGAAAAAAAAATCATACAATTCAAATGAATATTTTAAAGTATTTAAACTACTATTTGTTTATAAATTATATTAAATTCTATGCTAACTCCTTCAAACGAAGGCCTTCCTTTTCAATTGTTATCTCCCTTTGTTCTCTCAAATTGTCTTAACAGCTTTTCTTTGCTAAGTATTCAACTGTAACACCTACTTTTTTTTCACAGCGTGTAAATGTAGAATTGGACATCGGTGGGATATTTATTGATGTAAGTAATTTATTCAGAGGAGTTATACCTCTACTACTCTCAATAGTAGCTATTCAATTTGATAAATAAATAGCTTATTAATCTATGTTAAAAATTAAATAATAATAATAAAAGAGTAATAAAAATTTGCCTGCAACAATTTTTTGAGTTAACCCATTAAGGCCCAGGCCAAAACTGGAAAAGATAGCGTCAAACTAACTATGCCATTCATAGGTAAATCGAAAAAAAAATATCCGTGTTTTTTCTTTTGCCATTTGCAATTGTTTATAAAAAGTTATTTAAACAAATTACCAAAAAAGTAATTTTTTTTGAAATCTAATTGCGGGAATCAATTATACGGGAGAATACATGAAAAAAATATATGTAACAGTTTTTTGTCGGACTTCAATTTCTCATGAAAAACAGCTATCAAACATTGATCATGTAATTCGATTGAATTTTTATTCAGTTTTATTTTCGTGATCTTCTCGGTGTCTTTTGCACAAGGGTATAGCACATTATTGGCAATAAAATTCAGTTTTCATCTCACACGATAATACCCCACATGTTTTGTACATACCTTGTTTGATTACGTGTTTATGCAATGATGTGTCACTTGATCCCTTTCGCTTGTTAGGACGTTGATTCGCAAATTTCTCAAGATAAAATTCACTAACTTCTTGCACAATATCTTCTGAACCTTTAGGCAAGTCTGGGTGCAGCTTATTATAAATCACAGTAGCATTAGTCAATGAAGCCTGAATAAGTCGGAAGAACAGACACCATGTCCATTTTTTACTGCTAATTGAAGGCATCAAAGCATTGCAATGTTGATCATGCAAATCAACCCCTACCATGTTTTGGTTATAGGAAGAAAACGCTTGAGGGAAAAGAATGGACCTCTTAGCTTTTTCATGCCATCGCTGCACTTAAATTTTCGGTTCATCCCCAAATTTTGTTGATAACACTGATACAGGTTTGGAATCCATCACAGTTATATAATTCAGTTTAGAATTTTGATCGTGAAGAGCGATAGTTGTTCCCCTCTCAGCTTTTTTCGGCATTTCAACTTTTTTTTTGACGCGGTTTTGTCTGACCGTCCCAGTTGCTGATAATCCAATTTTTTCCAAATATACCATAAGATCTAGATTGGTGAAAAAATTATCAAAATACACATGATACTTAGTAAGATCTTTATTAGTTACTTGTAGTAAAGGCGATAGTAACTTGATAATGACTTTCGATCTCAAACAAACAGCAACTAGAGGGTTCCGTTCATCGAGTCCTGCTTTACCTGTATAGATATCCAGTTCATATAAATATCCATCTGAGGAACTAAGGGCCCATAATTTTATATTCCAAGCTATATTCAAATCAATTTTCGAAAACAATTAAATGATACAAAAATTCACCAATATAAATAAATTAAGTGTGACCCTTGGGTAATATAAATCGATTGAACTCAATAAAAGTCATAAATAATAAATAATTCAA